TGTCACCCTCCCAGGGGGTGACTGCCACCTCTGGGAAGCCCAGCCTGCGGCAGGACTGCTAGCACTGCGGGGGCCCTGTGAGGGAGAGGATCGGGAGGGGAAAGCCAGCCACAAAACAGCTTGTGGGCAGAGGCAGGGGCTGGGCAGTGCCCAGGAGGGTCGCTGCGGGAGGGCAGGGAGCCCAGGGGAGGTGGGTCCTGGCTGTTCTCTTCCTACAGCTCCACGCTCCACGTTCCGCATCCCGCCGAGCCTCCGCTCCGAGCTCTGGGCGGCCGCCTGAGGACAGAGAACAGCAAGGCACCGGGATTGCAACACCAGACAAGCCGCCAGTCGTAACGGGATCGGATCCAAACCCCGGCCTGATACAATATACAGTTAATTACAAACTAAATCCCCTCCCACCCTTTGTAATAAAAAGAGCAGCTGATTAGACATGCATCTTTCTGGCCCTACAAAATAAGGCACCAGAGCTTAAAAATGAAACTCCAATTGTCTTTGATATAAAAGGAATTCCCACGTGTTGAAGGCAGTTGATGTCTGAGTGCATAACAGGGAGTGATCTTCACTAGCTTTGGGTTGGCCAGCCTCATGCCTGCGCCCCGGTGGCTTTCTGGATCAGGGGAATCTGTAGGAAGGGAAGAGAGAAGCTGTTAGGGCTGGACGAGGGGGAGGCAGGGAGCTGCCTGCACTCTGCAGCCGGGCAGGGCTGGGGAAGGAGAGGCTCCCCAGGAGTCTGAAAGTTTTCCGGCAGGTCCTTGTGCCCTAAGAGCCTCAGGAATTGCCAGCTGGCAGAGCCCGGCTCACCTTGGTGAGATCCACGCCGGTGATGGCACGCACGGAGGCGGGGATCTCGGCCAGCAGACGGTTCACCTCGGACGTTGTGTTGCTGCTCTCTCCACTGAGAATAACGATCTCGTCCACTTTGGAGAGGGGGGCAGCCACTTTAGCAGCAATCTGGGGAGGCAGGGAAGGAGGGCGGGATGAGCAGAGAGCCAAGGAGCGGCTCACCAGCCTGCTGGCCAAGCTTGCGGGGCCTCTCTGTGCCCCCAGACCTGGCCCAGCCTGGGAACTCCTCACCACTTGTGCGGAGCTGGGGAAAGCTGCTCCCTCCTCACCTCAGGCAACGCATCCAGCACTAGAGCCAGCTGGGCAGCTTCTCCATACTGCTGGAGTGCTTCAGCCTTCAGCTTCATCCTCTCAGCCTCCGCCATCCCGATGGCCTCAATCACGAAGGCCTCCGCTTCTCCGATCTTGCGGATCTTTTCTGCCTCCGCCTGAGCAATGAGGACTTGCTTCACCCTGGAAAGGGAAACCCAGCCCTCTAAGCAGCCCAGATCCCCGCAGCGTACCCAGCAGTGCTTCCCTCCCTCTGTCAGCCACGTGCCTGCCCCACAGAGAGCCCACTCCGCTCCCACCTCACCCCAGCCCAGCGTGCAGCCGGGCTCAGGGCTGGTCCCTCTCCGACCGGGTCACGGGCTCACTCACTTCTCGCCCTCAGCAATCTGCTGGATACGGTAGGCTTCAGCCTCGGCCGGCCGCTTCACAGTGGCTATCAGCTCCTTCTCCATCCGGATGATCTCTTTCTCTTCGACGTCGATCTGCTTCTTGCGCTGCACCACCTCGATTTCAATTTCCTCCTGGCGGATCTTCTGCTGCTCCCGGGCGCTCTGGAGCTCGTAGGCCAGCTGGGCCTCCGCAGTCTGCACACGGGAGAGATGAGAAGAGGGGTCTTGGCCATGATCTCCTGTGCGCAGACAGAAGGACCCTTGGCAGGCCCTGAAAACAGATGTGGCTCCTGCTCTGGACCAAACCTCCACCCAGAGGTGATGTCCCTATCCCCAGAGTTGCACTTGCTGTCCTTCCCTGTGCGCTCTTCCCACAGCACCTGAGCCAAACCAGCTCTGGGTTCAGCTTGGATGACCCTCCCCATCCTTTCCTCTCCTCTTAGTCCACTTAACCGTTGCAAACAGGGCAGGAGAGGAATCTGCTGCAAGGAGCGCACACTGTGACATAGAAACCTGGGTTCTCCACCTCCAGCTCTCCTAACGCACGCAGGAGGAGGAAGCCGGACAGTCCCAGGGCTACCAACACCGTCACGAACCAGCCAGAGAACAGAATCGGGCTGTCAGATACCTCTCACCTTAATGTTGACCTCCTCACTGAAGGCAGCCTTCTGCAATTCAAAAGCCCGTCTGGAATCTGCTATTTTGGTATCTGCCATGAACTTGACATCCAACATTTCCTTCTTGCACTCTGCCTCCTGCAGAGAGGAAACAGAGAGCAGAGCTCCAGGGTGTGCAGCTAGAGCAAAACAGGCTGCTTGGGGGAAGGCCAGCACGTCTCCAGACTCACCCGAATGCCAGCATCTCGCTCGGCTTCTGCCACACCGATGTCTGCATCCCTTCGGACAGCGGCAGTCTGAGTCTTTCCCAGGGAGCTCAGGTAATCCACTTTATCGTAGACATCCTGGGGAGGGGAAGAGAAGTCATAACCGTGTCAAACGAGCGACTCCATCTTGCTCCCTTGGCCAGGGTCAGAATGAGCCATGTCAGCCTGCTGCCAGAAACCGGCGTGACAGGGAGAGGCGAGCTCTCCCCGACATCTTCCCTCCGACTCCCTGGAGGCTCAGTTATCAGCGAGTTCTCTCCACCAGCCGTTTCCAGAGGCAGCTACCAGGTGCTCTTGGCCCAGCTGCCTGGATACAGGACACGCTGTGGCAGCTGTCATGGAAACTCCCGGAGGGCTGGGGCAGGCTGTTAGCCGGAGCCTTTCAGCCAGCTGCAGCAGAGGAGCCAGGGCCAGACACTGTTGTGCTGGTCCTGCAGCGCTGCCGGCTGCCCCATAGCACAGCGCCCTACATCTGGGTGTACCTTGATGGTGAAGCTCAGGATCTCGATACCCATGCGACCCACGTCAGGAGCTGCCACCTCCCGCACCAGCTTGGCAAACTGATCCCTGTCCTGGTAGATCTGCTCCACTGTCAGGGTACCTGCAGAGGGAAGGAGGGCGAAGCACTTTATTTGGGACAGGTAACACACAACAGTGTGAATCTAAGCTCAGCAACATACTCGTTGCCCCTAATCTCTTCAGATCTGGGCACAAGGGCATAATCCTCTGCCCAGGCCCTGCAGTGTGCACCAACATCTCAGTCTCACAAGCGCAACCACCACGCACACGTGCTACCTGTAACCCGTGGGGACTCAGACATCTCTTACTGCAGGCACTGAAAACTCATTTATCACAACACCCAGCCACACAGCAGGAGCTGCTGTAGGGGAGGAACAATCTAAGATGCCACCTCTGCAGTCAGCAGAGGAGGCACCCGTTGTGGCTGCTGCGGTGGCAGCAATACTGCTGGGACCAGCCAGCAGAGAAGGGAGAAAGCCACTCAAGATGCCTTCAAGAGCGTGAGCACCTAGGATGGAGCGCAGATGCCCCTCCAGCGTCTGAAGGACCACGTTCTTCACATCCTGCACGTTCTTCCCCAAGAACTGCTCACAGGCCACAGCCAGGAGCTCCTTCTCAGTCATTATCTTCACCTAGAGACAGGAGACAAAACCAAAGGGACTGAAGGTGCCTGTCTGAAGAGGGACAGGCATCCAACAGCAGCAGCAGCAGCAGAAGCAGCAGTACCACCACCAAGCTGCCAGGCCCCGTGCTACCGATGCTCTGAGGGACCATGCTGAGCTGTCACCACACTGAGCCAGGCCACCGGACCAGCCAGCGAGCCCCCGCTCACTGCTGCTGGGGAGAGCCCTGCTGCAGGCACGCGCAGCAGTGCCAGCGTCCGGGGCAGGCACCTCTCCAAACACTGACTGCAGCTCAGCGTGGAGCGGTGCTCCCTGCAGCTATCTATCCCACAGCAGCGGCCACTGGGTGATGTGGGGACAGAACCTGGCCCTACAAGTCCGTCCGACCTGATGAAAACTCTACCAAAGAGCCCTGAACTACCAGTTCAGCCACTGCACCAATACCAGACCTAGGAGGAGAGGGCTTACTATTACTACCTCTGGCCAAAAGGCATTTCGTTACCTTTCTCTTCCTCCTTCTTCACTAGAAATAATTTTTCTGACACGAGAAAGGCAGAGAACAAGGAAGAGTCTGAATTGCCCAAGGAGCAGCTTGGGAACAGGGGCTCCATTTGGTGTTCCCTGCAAGGAGAGATGAGACGAGATGGCCGTAGCACGCTGGTTTGTCCTGCTTGTGTCTGGGAGCTCCCAGCCACCCTTCGCGGTGACCCCAGTGTGCCGTGGCCAGGACTTGGTTGTCCCGCTCGGCACAGTCAGTCTGGTAACGATCCCCAGAGGTGGGGGAGCTGCCCCAGCGCTGCTTTCACCTCCCACAGTCAGAGCCAGACGTGAAAGCATGCCCAGGTCCAGACCAGCCAGGGTCTTAAGATGGTCCTGCTGGTCATGGAGCTGCTTTTTAAAGGCAAAGTGGGTTAAAAATCCCCATGGGGTACGTTAGACAGTGGACATGTGTGCTCATGAAGCTCTATAGGACCCAGCTATGAGGAGCTACGACCCACCAAGCCAACAGCTCCTGGTGGCCAGGTCCAGTCTGAGGGCTCAGGCAAAGCCTGGGCACAGGGACGCCTCTGTGTCTGGCAGCACCAGAGAAGGAAGCAGGGCCATACCAGCCACACAGCTCTGCTGGGACCTCTGGGCACTGAGCGGGTCCCACAGCACCCTCTCATGGAGACATCTGGGCTGGGCAGTGCCTCCTGTCCCACGAGATGCTGGTGGCACCCTGCGTCCTGCCCCAAGGGCCCTGGCTGGACCTGCTGCTACCTGCGATGCCAGCATGGTCCTGGCTCGGATGCCTCCAAAGCTTCAGGTGCTGCAGAGGGGCCCGCTGAGGGTCCCAATGCACGCTCTTGATGGGTTCAGAGCCTACAGACCTCATCCTGACACCTATAAGACCGCTTTTCAGGGCCGAATTGCTGGCAAAAGCAATACGACTTGAGAAAGCCTGGTCTGATGGCCCATGAGTCTGAAACGATCCTGCAGCCTAACCTCCGGAGCCGAACAGCAGCACCCGGCCCCGGCACTGCCAGAGAGCAGGACAATTGGGACCAGCCACCACCTTCTAAGGGGACCAGAGGTGGACAGCGTTAGATGTGGCGAGCTGACCAAGACTCAGCTACCACAACCCTGCCACAACCCTACCCCTAGTAACGTGAAGGAACACCAGCCTGGGCTGAGCCTATTTCCTACCTTTGCTTCTCAGGCTGGGTCTCCCAGTCAAAATGCCAAACTGAATCTCGGGCAAGCGTGGCAATCCTCTTCTGCATTCTCCCCAAGACCTCTGGGCGCCTTAAGGGGCCAAGTCACAGTGGTTTCTTGTCCCTGCACCCCCGGGCCAGCAGTGTGCACTTTCTACACAAGGGGGAGTTGGGAGAGCTGCTTATGGAGCTGCACCCGGGAGCGTGGGCCCTGCACAAGGCTCATCTCACAGCAAACGGGAGATTTGTGCAAATACCCAAACCAATTAGATTCAGCAGCAACATTTATGGCGCGCATCTGCCAGCAATTCCACCTCTCTAAACAGTCCCCACCCTTCGGAAGCTACGGAGAGGACAGTCAGAGCACGGAGCGGGACGTTCGTTAAGAGAGGCCCTGCGGTACTTAACAGGAGCAAGGAACGATTCAGCCTCTGTGAATAAAGCCAGCCAGCAGCCTGCCCGCGCCGGTAAACCCCGGACAGCCCGAAGGAGCCTGGCTACCCGCTCAATACGGATGTCAACCTACAAAGCAAAGGTTGCACAAAACAAAACAGAGTTGAGCAATTTGCGCTCAGCTTGTTTCCAGTATTTCAGACAGCGCACTGCGACACTTGGTGCTTCTTCAAATGTCATTCACATCAGAGAGAGAGAGTTTAGCTGGCAGGAAATCAGAGAGCCTCTATAAAACAATCCCATCTGGAGGATCGATACTGCTTGCGCCCAGCTCCAGCCAGCTGCAATCACAGCGAGGGGCGAGCAGAGACAATCCAATTAGCTTGAGGCTCAGAAAAATGGTACGGAAGGATACGAAGCCCGGTTTGGCCTAAGGCAGCAGCATCCCAGCGCACCCCAAGCACCCAGCCAACACAGGAAGGAGGCTACTGGTGAGTACTCATCACGTCTCTCTTCAAAAAAAGAGCAGCATCCTTATGCACATTAAGCACTTCTATTATTACGGCAAATGTTTTAAAAGGTGTTTCTCTAGTAATCACTTTTTTGCTTTTCTCCTTTTTTGCACAAGCTCTTAAAAGAAAACTGTTCACCTCAAAAGTACTTCTGCAAAATTAAGGTAACCTCTGCCATGCGCGTCCCCAACAGCCTCAAGCCTGCTTTCTGCATGGTAATTCCTTGCATCTCACAGCCCTAAACCTTTAAAATTAAAGGCCAGTGAAAAAAATGAACATTGAGAAGAGAGAATAGCATGAATGAGATGAATTGGGAGCTACATTTTTAAATCAAGGCACCTGGTGATCCAGCTTCCCGCTACCACACGCCACCCAGCCTAGACCATTTTGCAGGCAATGGAAGGATGTCCCAAAACTAGGCCAAAAAGGAACGCTGGCTTCACAGAAACACCTTTTCCAAATACAGAAGGAAAAGCCTACAGATTTATGAAATATGTGAGGGGAGACACGGGTGCATGCATGTTGCCAACCACGCAAAGACCACTGTGGTTATGTGACATATTAGCAGCTAAATGGATCTAAAGAACCGACAAATTGAAAACAAGGATGCTGGTTCACACCAATTAGTGCCAGGACGAGCTCAAGATGCTGGCTCCCGTGCTGGTGCTCTCGCACGTAGCCACGTTCCCCAACAGCAGCAGGGCGATGGATTATCCGCTGTTGAGTCACGGTCGTGCCCAGCCCTTCTGCCATGTGCGACAATCCAGAAACCGTTCCTGGCTGAATTCACATCCTCGGTTACGCACAGACACAGCACGCAGCTCCTCTGCAACGTCAGTTCAGAGCAAACCAATGAACCTAGGGAGGAACCCGCCGCTCTGGAAAGCGCTGGGTGAAATCTGCCAAGCGCTCGGTCTTAAAAGGGCTGCAGCAGCCACGGCGCTCTTCCCCGGGGGGAGCCTTTTGACGCACGTGGGATTTTGGTCACATCGCTGTGTCACTCGGCAGCTCCCCGAGGCTCCACTGCTCACCGCAGGGAACGTGGCAGTCACCTCTCCTGCAACAACAGACCTGGACGTGCCTTGGACACACGGTGACCGCAGCCTTGTGCGCACTCTGAGAACCGCTATCTTGGTTTTATACACCCAAAATGAGCTGTCAGGAGCAATTTTCAATCAAAGCATCCAGCTGCCTATTCGAGGAGTCAAATTCAGTTGAAAGCTAACAACATTTTCTTCCCAGCATCCTCCCCAAGGCAGGACCTTGTCACAAAGACAGACTGTATCAGGGCAGCAGACCTCAGAGTCTAAGAAATGCAGGTGTTTAAGTGTGCTATCACAAGCAGCAAGAGCTGGGTTTCACATATGAAGAGGGCTCGAGAGAATCAAAATTCAATTCAAGCCAGAAATTTTATACACAAATTTTAGTGCCTGGAGGGACCAAGTTTTTTCTTTAAGCTTTAACTCACCGTGAAGAATTACAAGATCCACGTGCTAATAATAATAATCCAAAGCAACATAATGGTCGATACCATTCAGGAGTGAATGGCTCAGTCCTGCAGGGTCACACACAGCTCCAAGGGCTCCACGGTACATCAGCGTTTCACAAACAGATCAAGTCACCCCCACACACCTCATTTGCCATGTGGACACATGAGATACCAGAAAAAGAGGAATGATTTTGGGGAGAGGAGGAGAGGTCACAACCCCCTTCACAACACGGGACATGCTGTAGCGTGTTTGAACCAATGAGGACAGCATGGTTTTGTACAAAAATTTGTTTCAGAGCAGTTGGCTTCTGTTCCTGGACAACAGCAACCTCTTAAGGGGGAAAACCAGATGTAAGTTAGAGACATGCATTCCTGAAATGATGTTTTGGAGTTACTGTACCTGTGCCACACCTGTGACAGTTAAAGCTACCCCCTCCGCCGTCTCTACGTCCTCACACCTGGGCTGTAACGTCATTATCTCTAGGGAAATCCTGCCAAAAAACGTAAAATATTTGCACGTTTCCAGGTAACACACACTCAGCTCTTCCCCTTGCATCTCCTGCCCTGGGCTACCTGCCGCACTCATCACAGGTAATGTAAGACAGGCGCAGTATGCAGCCAAGGGACTGCATCTGTGACTGGAGACAGACAAGTCACTTTGGCCAAGAAATAGATTTTCAGATAACACTTAAAGGCAATTTATCAGCAGAGAAAGGCTGGGAGCCAGACTGGAAACGGTACCGTGACCCCTTGCCTTCTGCTGGGCTAGCGAGGTGGCCAGAAGCTAGCAGCTTTGGGACCCCAAAGGGCCCTCTGTCAGAGGCTCCCTGTGCCACGCTGCCCAACGCCGGGGCAACGCGTGCTCTCGCTGGCTGGTGTCACTGGTTTAAAAGCACAGCATGGACCCGGGACGCTCCCGCCCGCCCCGCACCGCCACCCTCGCAGGAGCCCTGGTGCTTGGCAAAACCTGGCGCTGATGCTGCAAGAAGCAGCCCTGCCTTTGCCCTCGCCGGGTTAGCATTAACACAGACCTACCCCCTGATCTGGTTCACCTCTTCCTCTATTTTTCCTGTCTCCCGTGACCCAAAGGCAGACAGAAGTGAGTCTCCAGCTCTTTAGGGCCATGCCTGTATAGTATCCAGGCACCCAGGAACAGATCCTGCAGCTCCAGAGCTTCCTCAGTCACCCAAGGTACTTCGGTCAGACCCGGCAATCTGCAGGCCATGATTTGGTAAAACAAGAGACGTGCGTGGGTGTGGCAGGTTCTGCTTCAGGAAGCAAAGCCTGGCTCTCATGTCAGCCATAACAAGCCGGGAAGGCGTTGGGAGTCAGGACAGGGAGCCACAGGGCAGAGAACTTGTGTCAGTGAACATTAGGTCAAACATCTGAACCATGAAGGGGCTGCGCTGGGCTGCTGCGTGCACGCCCAGTCGCTCCAGGATTGGCTGGAGGTGCCGAAACGTATCTCTGCAAGTTCATGCCTGCCTTGGCCACTGTCCTAATTAAACTGGCACGCAAGCCAAGAGCTGATAAAACAGATCCCGCTGTCCAGGACACGCAAAGGCATTTTTTGCCATATGCGTTCACAGCTTTAATCAACTAGTGCAGGATTTTAGCCTTCCGAAGACCTAATCTATACTTTGAATTTAATTTCAATACTGTGCTGCTTCTTAGCTGGCAAGTCACAGGGATGTTTGGTAATTACTGTCACACCGGTCCATAACCGCTCACAGTGCAAACGTTAGTCCTGTATGTTGAAACTCATCCAAGGTCTCTATGCTGTACTTTCAAACATGACAACATCCAAAATGGGCACTGTCTCCATGTGGAGGAAGAAGGGCTGAGTAGAAACCCATATCCAAAAATGCAGAGCCAAATTGCAATTTCCCCACACACGTACAGGCTTCCTTTTGCAATGGCACAAAACCTGCCTTCCCACCTGCCCCAAATCCTGTACAGAACCCAATCTGGCCTGCTTGTGGCTCCAACACAAAAGCAGGTGCCCTTTTGCTCTCCACCAAGCACACAGTGGAAACAGTGCCATCGAGGAAAGGGTTACAGCTGGAGCAAACATCTGCAGCGTTATCAGAAGGAGCCAGTACAGAGATGCTGAATTTGGAATTTGCCAAGTATGCATCTGTCTGCATTACCTATAAACTGTGGAGTGCGCCCCAGGGCAAGTGCCGGAGAAGGGGAAGGAGAGGAAGGTATTGAGATTTCAACTGTCCCATTACAAAACTATTAGGTTTTATGTTATCCTGCTGCTGCTGCTGTTGCTGCTGCTCAAAACAGAGGGATAAACAGTTAGACACAATGTTAGGAAGCTGGTGGATTATTACCTGTGCAACCCCTGTTACGTACAGTGGGACCCCCTCCGACGTCTCAATATTCTCACAGCGACAGAGGATGGTCATAACCTCCAAAGACAGTCTGAGCAGCGAGGAATAAGGGTAGGACAGCAAATATACAAAGCAGTTATCAGAGAGTAAGACACTCATTGCAAAGGACAGACGAGACTTTCAGGTTTCGGCTTTTCCCTGTTCAGTTTGCCTTTCTCCCACTGCCCGCTCCCAGGGCTCCGTAACGCTGGGCCAGACCAGCTTCCCCCGTCAGGGCAGGGAGTTTACAGCATCCAGCTGCTCCTTTTAATGAGGCTAAACAGGCTGGGGGCTCGTCTCCACCCTACATCCCATAAGTCACCGCAGATGAAACTGAACCGTGTGTCCCACCTGGGCCGCCATCCTGCAGTCAGCTGGAATTCTCTGTTGGAGTAATCTTCACACACAGAAAATTCCTTTTTGTAATAATGTAGATGCTTCTATGCCAACGTTTAAGAGGGGCCAGAAAAATGAAAATGCCAGGGACTTGGCTACCCACCCTTGGCTAAGGCACTGATGAGAGAAGGTGCTTCCAAGTGCTGTCCTGAGAAGCTGAATAATACCATTTGGTTCCCCCAGAGGCATGTAAGACCGCGCTGCCTCTCTCACTGCTTTTATTTCTGACCCTTAAACAGGGACAGGATTTTTCTTTTTCTTTTTTTTTTTTTTCCTCCAGTCCTCAAGGTTGCAGCAGGATAAGAGCCCAGCACCCTGCCAGCTCTAACTGTTCCTTTTGTTCCCAGGTTAGTGCTACCTGGCGGGATGCTGCTGACAGCCACACAATTGCTGCTGTCTCTCTTGCTTTCAGCACTGGCAGTTCCAGAAAAGATGTCCTAATTTCAGAGGAGGAAATCTGCCTCACTCTTCATGTTAATGCAGCAGGCTCCATCTGTGGCACCACTTATGGTATTTGGGAAAGGCCCTGTTTTCAAAAGGAGAATTAAGCCCCATATCGCATGGCATGAACCGGGGGTATAGATTTTAAAGCAAAAGATTTGTTTGGGTGCTAGCATTCCTGTCAAGAGCCCCGTTTGCTAAATAGTGCACAGACTTCTATCATATGACAGCTCATTCCTGGCAAGCAGCTCTTGGCCCTGGACTCAGCCTTTGCTTAACTTAATAAGTCAGCCTCCCGAATACATCTGTTATCTCCTGCACACGGCAGGTCAAGGTCCTGCGCTGTTCTCCGGGCTTCTCACACAAGAGGAGGAGCAGAAACCACTTGTTCAAATCAGCAGTTCTCCCAATGAGACGCCTCACAAAAGTTGGGGAATGAAGCTTGTCTGGATCAAATGCAGTTCTTTAAGCACTACGCCCACAAGCCGGGCCTTTCCTTCCCCTCCCACCTCGTACGAGCATCGCTGGAAAGCCCCGGCTAAAGCAGCAGGAGTTAGCTGAGACCTCTTCATGCAGCCGGAGCACTATGGTAGGCTCTCGTAGCAATCCCGAGTACCAGCCACCTGAGAGAGGACCTGAGAGGTGTCGTGAGTCAGTTGCCAGCAGCAGCCAGGACCCCTTCGAACAAGGCAAGCTGCCTGACACCCCCCCCCCGGTGAACAGCAGCTACGGTAGTGTATCATCTGCAGAGCGAGGGCAGCAACATGCTCACTTTGTCTGCTGGTGGCAACACATGAACAGGGAAAAGAGGTGGCAAGATCAGGCGGTAAGGGTTAACTACAACCTCTGGCCGTCACTCAGTGCAAAAACCCAAAAGTCACGTCTTTATCCTTTTTCCCTATTATTTTTTACACAGGCGGAGGAAACCTGCATTGGTGAGCATGAGGGAGGTATTAGGAGAGAATAACATTCCCACAGATCCTAAAGACGAAGAGCTACGTTAGCAGGACAGCAGCACTATCACAGCATGTTAGTTCAGAGACCAGCGCGGTAAGAAGCAGCAAGCAAAATCCACGACTGAGGAAAAGGAGAGAAAGGAAATCCCGTGGTTTTGAATAGGAACGCAGTCTGCTCCCAAGGTGACAGCAGTCAGCACATCTTTAGAAAAAGAGACTTGAGGAGCAGGAGGGGGCACTGGCCCGCTGCATGCCATAAACGTGTTTGTTACCGCGTGAGGGTTTGGGCCATACTGGGCAGAACTCAGCTCCTCTTGTGAACTCATGGATGAGCCAGCCCGGTGGCCCCGCTGCCCAGCACCTCTGCGAGAGCCTCGTAGCTGTGGAGTGCTGCAAAGGCAGCAGAGGAGAGCAGGGCTCTTGCCTTCCCCTGCACAGGAAGAAACACACTGACCAGCCAGGCTACGGCCCCCTCAGCTTGGTGGGTTTTAGGTAACTCAAAAACAACGAAAAAGGAAAAAAAAAAGCAATCTGACTGCCTTGCTGCCTTGGGTTTGAGGAGAGGTGTGGACAGAGAGGCCATTTGAAAAGTACTTCAGCTGAAAGCATGGGATTTCTTTTCTTTTTTGTCTTCTGCACTGTGATACCCAGCTGTCCTCACAAAATTAGTCAGCACAGAACTCCCCCATCCCGTGATTTTATTTTGCACATCATCAATCATCATTTACTGCCAGGTAAGCCTGAAACGACAGGGTTATCTCCTGCAGGGCCCTGGACAACCTCAGCCCCATCACTCAAAGCAGAGGACGGCCAGAAGCTGCGCGGTTGTGAGGGGCCCTACATTCCCCACGCTTCAAGGCATGACACAGGGCACACGCCGTTCCTTCCAGCTACTTGCAGCGCTGTAGGCAAGGCAGCCTTCCTTCGAAGGGCCGGGAGCTGGTCACAGCCAAAGGCAGCGGGCTGGGCCGACGCTCATCCATGATTTCACACGCAGTGCCCGGTCCCGTGTTCCTAAAGATACTGCTGACAGCCCCACTGGGATGGCTTTGCCTAACTCATACTCCAAAACCACAAATAACGGGGGTCTCCTTACCTTTGGGTGTCAGTAATGCACCACCAAGCCCAGGCCCAGCCTCCGTATACATACTGCTTTACATCAGAGCCACAACAGCCACCTGCAGCACAGCAGAAAGCACAGAGATGTAGGCATTACACACACGCGCGTTGCTCTCAGCCGGGGAAAAACCTGCACCCAGACTGAGTCACGAGCAGAACAACTTCATAACAAGCCTGCCCAGCCCCTGGGTGCTGAGGAAAGGGCATCCTGGGGGTCATCGGTTCCCCCAGCGCCTCGGAGCAGGGGAAGCACTTTGGCTCGACCACGTTACAGCAAGGGGTGCTACCAAGCCAAGCTCTGCAACATGACCCAGAAGAATCCAAGCATGCTTGCAGTGTCTGATAAATAATGAATGCAGAAAACTCTTTCCAAGATCCACAGCAGCCCTGGAACACCCTTCGGTCGCCCGAAACACAGCCGGCCACTGGGGAACCCAACGTTCTCCTCCCCACCATGGGCTTCACATGGCCATTTTCCAAAGGCAACCTTTGTTTTGGAATTGTCTTATAAAATTGGAAAATAGTATTTGTAATAATTCAGTGTGACGAACAATAACACACAGAAAGCGACTGTATTTCAAACCACAGTTTTATTTTAGTTTTGTTAAGCAGTTTAAGCATTTTTAGCAAACAGAATCGTAAGCACATGCTTCAGTATCTTTAACTGTGATGCACCAGCTCCATCATGGAAAGCCATGTAAGAAATCCATCTCCTTTCCTTCACCCACCCTTAAACCCATCAAAAAGCTAGCAGGTCAGCGTTGGAGGAGGGGAGAACCCTTGAGCTCCCCAAAAACATCTCCTAGTTCTGGCTCATGCAAGTACTGTGGTTCCTGAGGCCTTCACGGTCCATCACAGAGCTGCCCGCGCCCAGAGTTCGGGCAGCCTCTAGAACTCCCCTGACACGTTTAAGATTTGACCCCAGTGAAGCCAGAAGACGCTGTCTGGATTTTCACGTCTTTGATTCAAGGCGTAAGACGCCCGCTACCTTCCAAGAGAGCACCCTGCCAGCGACCAGCCCTAGGTTTCATGCCTGGCAAGGGAGGAGCTCTGCAGCTCCCCGGCTCGGACCAGAGCTGCGAGCTGCCGTCTCTCAGGCAGATCAAGCCAGCGGTCCCTCCCTAGTCTGTTATCCGTAATCACACTTATTACAGCAGCGCCCGAGGGCCTCAGCAAGGCAAGCGCTGTACCAACAGAGCAAGAGACGGTTTCAGCCCTGCGGGACGTATCTACGCAGGCAAGACGGAGCCAGCGCAGAGGAAGAGCAGGCACGCAGGGAAAACAGCGCGGCCGCAGCGCTGTGGGAGCTTCGCGTTGTGGGAGGGGAAAGGGAGAACTGGGAAGCCAGCAGACGGCAGCCACAGAAAGACAGCCCTTTCAAGGGAGACGACGATTATTAAGTTTGCCGCGATAGGTCAAAATGAAGAAGCAAAGGCAGCACACATCCAGGCCAGCGTGCCGGCAGGGCCCTCTGGACCGCAGGAGGGGACTCTGTCCTCCAGCTGCGCCTCCTCCTCCTCCCCATCCTCCTCCCCATCCTCAAGTGTTTGGCCATCTTCCGCTATCAGCTAAGGATACCGCCTGCTTCACTGGCTTCCATGCAATGGTTGATACACCGACACATCGGCCCCATCTACAATCCTTCACCCTCCGATTTCAGTAGGAAGTAAACACAAATGGGAGACGGATTTACACACTTTTTCGGGTCTCCTGTGCTCCACAGCCTGGAGGAATATTCTCCCGTCACATCCGAGACAGCCTCTGGATACCTTCTTCCTGTAGCTGGAAGGCTATTTCAGCCAGGCAAGGAGTTACAGAACCTGATGGTACAATATCCCGCAGGATAACAACCGCAACGCCTTTTAACATTTCTTGGAGGACGTCAGCCCGGTTAGCTCAGCCTTTTAGCCAGGCCCTTGTTTTCCAAGAACAGGAAGGGAGGTGTTCCTGGCAGTCAGGAAAAGCAGCTCCACGTGGAAAGGTACTTTATTTCACAGGGTCTTTGCTGAACCTCTGGTAATCGTTTCATAATAATGTTCTGAGAAAACTCCGCACCCTAAACACACTGTTGTTACAAGAACGTGCCTCTCCACACAGATGTTTCTTCTATTCTGCAGGCAATGCAAGGAAATACCTTATTTAGTGTGACACCCAAAGCGAGCCCCATGCTTGCTTCCCAGCGCTACACAACGTTGCTGCACAGCACAGTTTACTAAGCTAGGTTATATGTCAAAAAAAACGTTCAAAGCATATGAAAAATCAGGGAAAACTAACACATTAAACAGAAGCAGGATGCCAGCTGGTTGCTTTCATGCAAGCTGGACGTCTGAGCGCAGCAGAGCTCCGTCCTGGTAACGCAAGTCAGATGAGCCCAACGCTCATTTCCCTTTGCAGTCCCGCAGCCTCTTTCCCAAGTCTCAGAGAGCAAGCGAAAAAGGAACCAACAAAGCGAAATCTTTGCAAGGCTAAAGAATAAACCCTCTTGCACAAGGAGATTTGGCAGAGAAATTGCCTTTTCCAGCTATAATGCGCCCACTGTTCTAGCAGCCCGGGTCTCACAGCCGCTTGGCCATCGCTTCCACAAACATCCACCGTGCCTCTTCCGGGGCAGTGTACGGCGGCCAGGCGCACTACAAATGGAGGATTCATAGCCGGGAAGCCACCATCCAGCTTGGCCTCTTCCCAAACGAGGGGGTCCCATGTTCAAGCAAGAATTCCCAGAACCACCGACACGCACGTTGTCTGGTTTTTGTTGTTTTTTGTTTTTTGTTTTTTTTTTAATGAAATGAGATTAATCACTTGGGAGTTTGTAGATAAATGTTACGGGGACACGGGGCTCAAAACATCAAAGCCGGGACAATTTGAGGTTGTGAACAAGCTCTGTTGTTTGCTCTCCTAAGGTAACTCGAGGCAATGAGCTTGTATTCTGGCAGGAAGCGGTGAGCATTCAGAAATCAGGTCGTGGTAAACAGGCTGCTACGATAACTCGATAGCTATATTCCTTCCCAGAGACCGCTGCAGGCTGAACGCAAGAACAGAGCAGACACCGCTGCCTTCACCTGCACAGAAAGAGCTGCCACCTTCACGCCTCAGTTCAGGGCAACCTGGTGCTGGAGACTCCTCCTCCAGGAGGACCCGCCGCCCAAGTTGGGAATAAACAGCTCGGTCCAGTCGGACAGAAGCTGGATTTGTTAGAAAAACAGCCCTGTGCTGGGAGGTGTCATGGGGTGCAGAGTGCAGCAAGCGAGTGCAGAAAGACAAGGAAAAAATTGATAATTCAAACCAGTGACTGACAAAAGACATAATAGAGAGGAGAGGGAAAGGCAAAGGCATACAGAAAGAAACTCATATAATAAAGCAGGGTCTAGACTAAAGTCAGTGTCTGGATTCTTAGGCCCTACTGTGCATATAAATTAGGCTTTGTCCACATGCAGAAACGGCACAAGGTTAACAAAAATTAATTTTAAAAGATGCAGGGTTCTGAGTTGAATCCATAAAATGCTTTGACGGTCACTACAGCTGATGAAAGCAGATTATGCTGGCTAGCTTGTTTTGGATGTCATCTATATCAAAATGACTCATTTTAAGCTATGAGTTTATGCTACAATGCTACAGAGTGAGTTTAAAAAACACACGTTTAGTTTAACTCATCTTGTAAACAGAAACCCAGAGAAGACAAACCACAATGAAGTTACACAACAAAACTACAGAGATACTGCCCCAGCATTCCTCTTGGCAACCAAAAGGAAAGCCCCGAGGCTTTTCTGTCTACCTCCTTCTCCTTTCTGAAGAGTAATTTGCAAGTCTTGGAGATTTAACAAGCACCTAACAAGGGGAACCTTGAGCCCCACCACCTGCAAAAAGCTGAAGAACTACCTCCGAGAAGGAAACATCACAGAGGAGCTGCATCAGTTGCCTTTTGTGCAGGAGGTGAATAGCTGTATTGAGCACCGGCAATCTCGTGCTACAAACTTGAGACAAGCTGCGATGCCGCACTCTGGACAGCAACCACCGAGCATCACAAGCAGCATGAAACCGACCGCAGGGAAAGATTTTTGGCTAGCCAAAACGAAGAACCTAACTTTGCAGGAGTACTCAGTTAAACCTGGCAGACGACAAGCAGTGCCACCGTCAGTTTTCTGCACGGTTTGCCTGGTGCGAGAGGTAGAATACCTCGATCTCAACCCCGGGGAACAGTTTTGAACTCCGGCTCCAAAGGCACGAATGCAGACAAGGGCAAAGCCTCACGTGAAGCCCAGCTGCAGCTGCCTACTCCTTCCCACAAACTCGTATTGCTTTTGAGGCTGAAGAACTGGGATCGCAGCTAGCCAGCGTCACATAGGCCTGTAGCTGGAAGTGGAGGGACAACCCCGATGCCATCAGCCCCACCACGAGCGTTAGGTCTCAGATGCCTCTTGCTGCTCACCATGCCTCTCTGCAGGACACGGCCTGGACCTTCTCCTCCCATTCCATTTTCATGCAATCGACTGTTCTCGCCTAAGTGTAGTTCTCTGCATTTCTCCCTATTGAACCGCATCGTGCTTCTTTCAGACCATTCGGTCAACCTGTTGAGTTCATTTTGGTTCTAATCCAGCTCTTCAAAGCTCGCGAATCCATTCCCAGCTCAATACTGTCTGCAAATTCAATAAGCACATTCTCGATTTCATTATCCAAGCCAAAACAAGGAACTTGCTTGATAAATCCTTTCAGCTGAACAGTGAGCCACTGTCAAGTTCCCTGGCAATGGTTTTCCAGGCAGTTTCATATTAATTTTATAGTATCTGAGAAACCAGTTCCTCCTCACACTGTGGACTGTAGGCCTCTTGCAGGAAGGGCTTGCAGAGCCTCAAGAAGCCTTTATTTCAGGCTTTCAAAACTTAGAGAAGTACCATAGAACAGCACAGTCACATTGGCTCAAAATCATGACCAGTTCCTCTTGCAGGAATAAGAAGGTTGCCGTAACAGGATGAGAGAGCTCAGAGCAGCTCTGGGAGGGTTAACCGCCCCTGACTGCTGGGGTGCGGCAGGAAATGTTTACACAAAACTGGAATTAACTGCTAGC